CATGTTACTTTCATTGGTTTTGAAGGCCTAAATCAAACTTTTTCTCCTAAAAATGCTCCTATGCCTTCAATAGAGAATTAACAAGTTTCTATACAAGGAAACAAAACTATTATTATTGACAGAACTGTGTATCCTTAAAATGGAAGTGCTGAAGCCCTAGCCCCAAGGTGACTACATTTTGAGATAGGGTCTATCTGAATTAATTAAGGTTAAAGGAGATCATAAGCAAAGGGCCCAGTACCAGTAAGACTGGTGGTCTTCCCTGCACAAAGAGACATCAGAGAAGATCCCTCAATCATTGATTGAGGAGAAGAGATCAATCAATAAGGCCACCCTCTGAAAGCTAGGAGAGAAACCAATGGCCAGAACCAACCATGTCAGCATCTTGATTTCAGAACTGTGAGAAAATAAATGTCTGTTGCTTAACTACCCAGTGGTGTCAGAGGAGGCAAAGGCAACTTTTTGATATCCATATTAAAATAGTTTAAAGAACTTGAATTAAAAAAAGAAGGAAAGTAATGAATAACTGCTTTTATGTATGTCCAGCAGACAGAGATCCTCCTTTATGATCTACACTCACGTATTACCTAGGCAAAGAAATCACACACACACACAAATCAGCTGCACGTTATATGGACAATCATTTCACAGAATGTTTAAAAAATGCAGTTATCACAATTAAAACAGACTGCATGTCACAGAGTTCAATTTTTTAAAAAATCTTTATAGATGGCAGTTTAAAACTTTTCTGAGGTTTCATAGTATCTACCTAACATACACAAACCTGAATTAAGAAACCTGATAGTAGGTTAACTACAGCATAGATCAACACTGTGAAATTCACCAGGCACAGATAATTCTTAACCTGTGAGGTTCCAAAAACTGTCCTTAGGATAAGAACAAATGATCATTACAGAAAGATTCAACACATATGTCTACAAGAGTATGACATTTTTTTTAATCTACTAGTAAAAGTTTCAACTTAATATTTTTTTTCAAATAAGGTAGAACTCTTTATTTATGAAAAATAATGTAAAAATAAATGGCTTTTTAAGTTACAAAGTTTATCGGACATAGATACCCTAACCCTCTAATGATAAATCTATTGTTTCAATTTCAATTATTCAGATGTTCAAGTCAAAATTTTGCAAATAATTAAGCCTATTTTTTTTTCTTAGAGTTAATCAAAAAAGCTTTTTCAAAGAAAATAAACTGGATGTTAGGATTGGTAAGCATTTTTCTGCAAACACATGAAATATGAAACTTTTTTTGACATGAAAAAGTCATGCTGGCTTTCTTTATTTTTCATATTCAGTGCAGCAAAGAATCACTTATTACGCTTTCCGCTTATGCATATTTTTGATACTGAATGCTATAACAACAACATTCCCCAATCCTAACTATCTACATTCAGATTTTTTTTCATAAGAAATTCCAGGCAGGCTGGGGATGTGGCTCAAGCGGTAGCGCGCTCGCCTGGCATGCGTGCGGCCCAGGTTCGATCCTCAGCACCACATACCAACAAAGATGTTGTGTCCGCTGAGAACTAAAAAATAAATATTAAAAATTCTCTCTCTCCTCTCTCACTCTCTCTTTAAAAAAAAAAAGAAAAAGAAAAAGAAAGAAAAAGAAATTCCAGGCAGGCTAGAGAATATAGGTTTAGGTTTCATCTGTTTTACAGGGGATATACTTCATCACAGCACCACCGTGCGTGCATAACACCCCCTTCCCATGACTTCTGCCTCGTTAATTTCCCTTCTCTCTAGCCAGAGGCCCTGTATCTAAATGAGAAGGCTTTACAACCTTTGCCAAGTAAAAATATTTGCATTAAAGAGGTATAAAAATCATTAAACCAGGAAAGAGAAGAAAGTTACCTCTTTTAGTTTTCTTAAAATGCCTATTCCTTCCTGACTCATGATTTTCCTGAGCAGCATCACAGGATAAGCCCAAAATTCCCCCAGAAAAAGCAAGATGCAAGTTTGACTTGCTTTTTGCTTGAGGACTCCTAAGGACTAAGAGACTTCCAAGTAAAGGTGATAATGAAGGAGCTGATCCCTCAGGCATGGTTCTGTTCTGGCCCAGGAGATGTGAGTTAAAAAGATTTCCTGAGGTTCATTGTCCCCAGTAGTTCCCACCTGGCCCAACCCAAGGGAGAAAAAGAGCAGGCAGGAATTCAGCAACAAGTCAAAGCAAGTACAGACAATGCAGTACACCAGAATGTCAGATAAATTAGGAGATTGTGTCAGATAAGTTAGGAGAAAGGAGGAAGGGAGGGAAGATGTCAGATAAATCAGGAGGAAGAAGGCAAGAAAGATCAGTGACCAGGGAGAAAGAAGGGAAGACATGTCTAGCATCATATTCCTTTGAAGAGTTGCAAGAAGTTTTTCATTAGTGATTAAGTTAAAAACATTGGCCACAAAAAAAAAAAATTCTTATTTAGTATACCAAGGGATACACTAAATGTCATTTGTGAATGTTATTATCTGACTAAAAAGAAACTCAGATTCCATTATCAACCATTATTTAAAGAGCCACAACACTTTAAAATAGTGCTAATCAAGTGCTATTTATAATACAGTAGAAAACGACAGGAAATACAGTGAAGTCTAAAAACCTTTTAATATTCTTGCTCATGTTATCATCTGAGCGGCACAAAGCATAGTTTCTATTTACTACCATAATCAAGGAAAAGAAAGGGTATAATGGGTCATACCTGCCCTAAAAATCATACTGAAAACGGTGCTGTTATATAGTTAGTACAAATTAACGATACTAATCTTAATGCTATTTCAATTCTAATTTTTAAAGACTCACAGTCATGCTATAAATAACCTTTCACATGATGCAAAGACTACCTTTATAAATGAAGGACTTAAAGATACACCACTCTAGCATATTCACTATTTTGAATTAAAGTCATTTCATTCAAGTGTTGAAAAACAGCAGGTGCAAAAACATCACTCTGACCTTGCTATTGTTCCTTAAAAGCAGATGAAATTCCCGTGGGAAAGGAGTAACTCTTATCCTCAGGGACAGAAGTGGAGATGATGGAGCCCTAAAGAAACCTGTATAGACCCTGTTAAAATAACTTCTACCCTTTGAACCTCCCAGGTAACTCAGCTACTTTTTTTTCACGTCTTGGTATTCTTTGTCCTATTCAGGGTTTCACTAACACCTTCTTCATGTCTTCATCTCTTTGTCCTAGGTAAAACTTATAATTTATTTCCTTGTGATAACCAATCTGTAAGCTCCCCCCCCCGCCCCCGTCAATTTGTTTTATGTCGATTTAATTCTCAGCCTAGGCTAGGACCCTCAGAGGATGCAAGTGCAGTTTGCTTCCCCTCTACCACTTAAATGAGCATTAAAAGATTCTTTGTGAAATTCATGGAAAGCAGCACTCAATGTCTGAACCTTAAACTAAATGTTTCCTAACTGATGTTTCCCATCTGGCTCTCACCAAGATTCTAATGGGGCAAAAATAGAGTTTTATTTTGTGTACTCATTTTTTTCATACAGAAAGTTTTTGACATTTAAAAACTTGTGACTTTTCATTTAGTTTCCTTTAATTGCTGAAAACTAGCAAAACATTTTAAAGCTAAATGCTTGTATAAAAATTAGTGACCTTCTACAATGCTAAGAAATCATTGAATTCTTATATATGCAGTCAAATTTTTAAAAAATATTTATTAAAAAGGTAGAAGTCAGAATGTAGTGGAATGAAACACCAGTTAAATGCCCTGGAAGGCCTAGGAGAATTAACCTCAGGCGGTCCATGTTACTCACAGGAAGACCACAGAGAACACTACCTACCTTACAGGGCTATGAGGCTAACCTGTCAAAAATTACAACCCAAACTAGCACCTAGGTGTTTAATAAATGGCACTGTAACTACTGGTTCCTAGTAAACATCAGACTTTACTAATATTAGGGATGCCAAGGTAGAGAAATTAATTAGGAACTATGCCCTCAGAGTTGGTGATCTAATAGGAGATACTTATATTTAACAGAGTTGTAAATTGCCATGTTTTCTCTTGCAAATAATAAATTGCTACCTTTTCTATTGCAAATACAACTTGCCAAAGGTACCTCAGGGCAAGAAAATCAGCAGCAGCCACAGATTCAAGCTGGGAAGGGGAATCTTACAGGAATGCCAGCCCTGGACTTATGCCTGAAGTCTGTAAAACACTGCAGTAACCATCAAACTTGAGCTTTATACCTCCCAGCAGAGTGAGAGTCGAAGCCTTGACTCTTGGTGGAAAAAATAAGAGCCCACCCCAACCCTGGAGTAAACCACAACAATTTTAGGTGCAACTCTGAGAAACAGATGAAAGCTTTCTCTGCTGTAAAATCAGCTTCTCTCAAACTATTCAGTTACCCCAAGATGGATACTGGTGACCTGAGGCCCCTCTTTGGGGTTCCAGAGATGTGCCCTCTGTGGACCTGGGTTCATACTATACTGTTATCTTATTACATCTATCTTCCACACTAGACTGCAAGCTCTTTCATTTCTCTTAACTTTCTTTCCACCTAGCACAATGACTCCTACAAAGTTTAATAGATGTGTATTGAATTATTAATTGGTGCCAAGCACCATGCCAGGCAATAGATATACAAACATTAAAAGACACATTCCCTGCCAGAGAACAAATAATCTGCTGGAGAGATAAGAGTCAGCAATTCAAATATGAGAACTTCACTAAGAGAACATTACAATGGAGGGAAGGTAGGGGAAGGAAGATCCAGGTAGAATTAGGGGATGCAATATTCCCCCAATTAAATAGGAGAAAGCTGAAGAGTCCCAGGTAGTTGTAAGTTGGAAACACACACTGGAAAATACAAGTGGCACAGAGAAAAAATTTGAAAAGATGACCAAATAAAGGCTGTATGAATATGTAAATGCAACTAAGTCAAATTCAGAAGGAACAATGAAAACATCATTGTTTAAAATAACGAAGTTTCCCTTCGTTAAATATTTATGGCTTATTGACAAGAAATCTTACCTCCCTGAAATTCCTTTTGCTGGCCCTGGGATCTCTGGTACAGGCCGATGTCTTAGCAGAAAAGAGCGGGAAGGTCTTGAAACCAACTTGCTACGACTTCTCATGGGCGCTGAGACTGGAGATGACGGCACATACAAATCATTCACAACCATTTCTCCCTGAAACTCAAAGAATGGTGATGGTGGCGAGCTTTCTAATAAACCATTAGCTCCATTTCCAGAATTTGCTTCTGAGGTTGAACAATCGAAGGAAGAGACACATTCAGGTTTCGTACTAGGAAGGTTGCTGAAGTTTTCTGATATCAAATCAACTTTTTCTGCTTGTTGTTCTTCAACTGTACGATCAACTGCCTTTTTTGCAGTCAAAGATTCTATTTCAATATTTTCACTACCAAGTAAAGACTCATGAGAGGAACCCAGGTGTTGTTCTTCTGGAATGGGGAGGTCCTGGTTAGAAAGAGATAGCTTAACATCTGATTCAAGGGACTGGTTATTTTCCATACTAGCATCATTTTGATCAAGATTTTTTGTAAAGGTCTCCAACTGTGTTGAGCTAGGTATCTGAATACAACCAGAATTGGAAAGTTCTTTGCAGGTGTTCTGATCAGAAGAGGAAGCGTGGCGGTGATCTTTTGAATTGTTTCCATTCTTCGTCTTATGAACATTTGCATATATTGGGATTTCTTGCATTTTTGACAATATTATCTGTAACTGTTTAAGTATCCTCCTACGGTGCCCTGTAGGTGATATTCCAATTTTGTGTAGCACACTATCATTTATTGCTGCACAGTCCTTCACGGTATAAAAACCAAACTCTTGGAAATGTAAGAGATACTGCTCCAAATTAATGCTCATTAGGAAATCCTTGATGTCAACATTTACTTCACTGACTGAGGACATAATGGTGACTTCATTACTAAGCAGAGTCTTAAAACAGCACAACAGGATCTCGCAAAAGAAGGTGTTCTTCTTATTGGTTTTTCTTCTATCAACTTGTGACAGAAAGGTTTCTTTAAATGTTGTTTTCTCCACAATGACCGTTTCATGTGCTTAAGCCTGGGGGGGGGGGGGTAAAAACAATAATTTATTAAATCATCTTAATATACAGTTGGTGGTGCTGGGGATCAAATCCAGCACCTCATGCATACTAAGCACACACACTGCCGCTGAACTACATCACTAGTCCAGGATACTTTAACTAGTAAAACCTAATTGTACATTATAAACTTCCCTGAAAACACAACAGAAAGTAAGACAACTGAGTTTGGAATTTTTGCACATTGCCTTTTGCATCCTATATGAAGGTAGAAAGCAGAAATGTTATGATGGTGTCAAACTATGATTTTCAAACAGGATTAAAAAAAAGAGACTCACAAATATGAAGGGAACATGTGTAAAATGTTTTACTCATCTCATTAATTGATAAGGGATCAGTAAGATGGTAAGGCTGATTCCAAGAGCATTTGTAAAACAGGTTTACTTATACTATACACACACACACACACACACACACACACACACACAGGCATTTTAAACAAAAAATATTAGAATAAAACAACTAGGTAAGATTTTTTTAAAAACCGGTTAATGTTCTATAAGGCAGGAAAAAAAATACCATGTGAGGGATTATAATTAAAATTAAATATCCACAGGCTGGAACTGTTAAATGAAAGCTACTGATAAACATTCTTTTGATTTCCAAGTTTTAGATAATTTTTCCTAACAGTAGCTAAATAGACACAACTTTCTGTTTCACTATACTTTCTTTCAGAACCTTAAAGAGCAGGTAGAATATATACTTCAGGTCAAGAGTTTTCATTTCAAAAAAGGAGGCAGCATTATATGTAAACAACTGATACTAACGTGCAAGATAAGGCTAGTGAATAATCAGCTATTCTTAAATACATTAGATAGCAGGAAGTATGCTAATTCAAAACTAAAAGATCAAAGTTTAAAGGTCACATTTTCCTCCTAGGAACACAGCAAATTCAGAGAGATTCATTTTCCTCCCAAACAACACAAGTTTTTTACAAAGTCCGACGTCTCTGCTGTTATGTGGGTGTGTTCAGTTTATGAAAATGCATATGTGCAAATTTCTGTATACTATGCTTTGATAAAAAGGGAAAAGTACATAATATGCATAAAAGCCATACCCAAGTAATAAAACAAGGCACAACAAGGTATATTTCTCTGAGCAAGCTTTGATGCAGTATTTCCAGAAACCACATCTTGAAATAACTCTTTGAAAGACACTACTCTGACTCTGCGTATATTACATACTGATTCCTCTTAAGGTATTGCCTTGACTATTTTAAAATATCCGCAAACATTGACCAACAAGTACAGAGAGCATCAGAGGGAAAGCACCTTTTTTCCAGGCCTTCCTTCAGGAGCAGAGAAATAAAAACACAAACAAGAGAGAAGGCAGGAAATGACTTTGACATGAAGGTACTGCTTTGTCATACCTCTAAGGAAATGTAAATACATAAATACATACATAAGAAAAGAGAAAGCTAAACCTCATCATCAAATGCAAAATCACCTTATTTTGTAGATACAGATGTTGCTGATGTTTTCCTTGGCAAATCACAAAATAGAAATAGCAACTGAAAACAGTACAATAAGTGGTATGATTTATCACCACCTTTAGAAATTATAAAGATGATGAATTGGTCAATAATTAAAGAGGATTCACAAAATCTTAGAACAAGAACACACACCAAAAATCCTCTGGATCCTCCCCTACTACAGTAGTGGTCACCTAGTCACCCACCCAAATCTAAAGGTCAGAAGGGATCCCCATGCTCACCTTTGTCTGCATTCAAGAATGTAGGTGAGCTACTAATTTTATTCCTTGCTATGGACAAAATTGTGACTCCCCCACTTCCTACCCCCAAATATCCATATGTTAAAGCCCCAACCTTCAACAAGACTGCATCTAGAGACAGAGCTTCCCATGAAGTAATTAAGGTTAAATGAAGTCATAGGAAAGAACTAGTTTCCTCTAGGAGACACCAGAGAGCTCTCTTTCACTCCCCACCCCACCCCAATCCCCACCCCCACTGTGGGGCCAAAGGAAGAAGCCAGGAAGACAACCTCACAGGAAACAGCCAGCCCTCAATTTCATGTTGGTTTTCCAGCCTCCACAACTATGAGAAATTTCTGTTGTTTAAACCACTCAGTCTGTGGTATTTTGCTCTGGTGTTTAATCTGACCAATATGCTCCTCCATCTTCATTGCCTTTACCACGTTCCATACCCTCATTATATCTCTTGATTAAATTACCGCAACAGTCACTAACTAAATCTCTGCCCACACTCCACATACCATTGCCCACCAAAAATACAAACTCAGCATGTCATTCCACATTCTCAAAAGAGTAAAGTCTCAAAGACATATAAAGCTCCTGACAGTGCCATGTAATAATCTGGTCTCTAATAATAATAATAGCAGTAAACAACTATCATGGGCCAGGCCCCTTACCTCTTTTTCCTGCAAGGTGGGATTCCCTACTACTAACTCCAAGCTAATCTTCATCCTGTGTCAAACGTTCTACCAACATCCTTCATTCACTTTATTTCCCAGAGGCTAACTATTCAATACCTGCATTCCTTCTATATATGTGGTATCTGCTTTCCTATGCGACATTTAAAATTCTGAACAGGACTCTGTGAAGGCATCATGTTGACCCCTAAAGACAGAAGGAACCATTGCTTTTTCTATATACATCTATATCTAATATCCTAGAACCATGCAAAGTGCTTGGAGAGTATTTGAGGTGGACTAACATTGGTAGGGATGGTAGAAGTAGTCAAGAGGTCGACATCATTAGGTTTTTGGTGTGTGTGCATCTGAGATTTAATACACAGTCTTTTCCTTTCTTTGGTATATACACATGTACTTCCTGGGTAGCTGAATCAAGGACAGATAAACCAAGACCTTTACTTAAAACCATCTCTTTGCTACCATTTGACATGCTAATGAACCTGATTTCTTCTCATGATATGAAAGAGACTCCCCTCCCACTGACCCTACAATCTTCTGTGCCAGCTCTGTCCTCCAGTTACCCTACTATCTAACCCCTGAGGGCTGAATGTTCAAAGGTTTTTACAGCTCTCTCCTTAGAGGTCCTAGCTGCTAAGAACACATTAGATACAAAGAGACAGGTATGTAACTCTGTGAAGTACCGACCATATGTGAACTCCTAAGCCTCCACATTCTGACCTACAATGTGGGCTCACAGGCATGTAGGTACTGGTCTGTGGATCTGCTGTACAGGAAAACAACTACGCAACAGCAGGGCCAGGAATCTGTCATTGGAATACCCTCCAAAGAGGGTATTGCAGCAAAATGTGGTTATTACTGTTCTTAATCTACACTCCCAAACGTGCTTTACATCAGCCCACCTGACTAAGCTTATCACTCTCCTCCCTGAATGTAAAGTTCTTCACAGCCCGTTGCACAGAAGTTTGGAGTCATAATAGGTTGAAATCCCAGCTCCTCCATTTTCTGGCATTATGAGAACTCTAACCTATCCAAGTTGATGCCTCCATTTCCTTTTCAATAAAATAAAAACACTCAAAGGCACCTAAGCATTGGTGCAGATTAAATGAGAAAATCCATATAACTGTTCACACAGTGCTGCTTAGTAAATATTCACTCCCATCACTATATTTATTTTTTATCACTTACATGTTCTCACAGCTGAATTTTTTTTCCATTCTCTGAGATCTAACTAACACAAACCCTATTTACTTCCCAAAATCCCTACAGAACAATAAATATATACTCTCTTCTCCATATTCTTAAAACATTTATCTCTTATTGTCTTCTTAGTCCTTTCAGGTTGCTATAACAAAATACCTTAGACTGAATGATTTTTTTATAAACTTTAGAAATGGATTGCTCACGGTTCTGGAGACTGGGAAATCCAAGATCAAGGCACCTGAAGATATGATGTCTGGTGAAGGTGGCACCTCCTGTGGGTTCTCACATGGCAGAAAAGCAGGAAGGGCTAACACATTCCCTTAGTCCCTTGTATAAAGTCACTCATCTAATTTGTGAGAGTGCTGTCCTAGTGACCTCATCAGATCCCAAAGGTCCCACTCTTAACACTATGACCTCAGTGCTTTGGTTTCCACATGTGAATCTGAGAGGGGCACATACATTCTGACCATAGCAAAGATTTGATCGTGTTCTGAACATTCTATAAGGCAGTGTGCTGTAAAAGCCAAGACTTTGAAACCCAACACCCTAAATCTAATCCTAGTTCCTCCATTTACCAGCTTTGCACACTTGAGTATTTAACTTCTCTGCACTTCAGTTTCCTCATCAGGGAAAAAAAAAAAAAGGAGTAATAATAGTGCCTATTCTCAAAGGCTGTAAGAATTAATAGATGCAAAGCATTTAGACACCAAGCAGCACATAACAAAGGCCAAGTCAGTGTTTGCCACCATTATTTTATTATCATCCCATAAAACACCCTGCCAAGATGATCATCCCACATGAGCTTCCCAATAAATGCCAAATTATTTGTTTATAAACACAGTGAGGCACCTATTTAGAGAATGCACAAGCACCATCACAGAACTGGTTCTGCATGGGCCCATCCTACACTGACCCATTTCCTCACAGAAGTAAAAAGGAAGTAATGCTGAGAAGCACCTGCTGTATGTGTGGCTTGCGGTGCCACACAATAAACATTACCTAATTATCTTACCGAGCTCTACCTAGAAACTATTCCCTAAATCTGACGGCATTTTACCACCTCCCCTGCTCACGTCCTACTCTAAGTCATCATCTTCTCCATCTTAGACTACTGCAGAAGCCTCATGGACTGATACCCCTCATTCTTTCTTGACCCCCTTCCCCAACAACAGATTCTGAATACAGGATTTAAA